TTGAGTGGCGATTTTATATAGGGGGCATGCCCTGGGCACACTATGAAGGGCATGCCTCGGGCTGAGGCATGCCCCTTTAGGAATGCCCAAAAAATATCCTGTGCCCCCAACCCTAACACACAGACGTCGGGTGATCACACATCAGACCTATGATTGACTGTATATACTAATTATTAGAACTATGAGATAAAATGAGTATTTAGAATTAGACCTCTTAATTATGTCAAATCGACTATGTAGTTATAAATAGTGGCTAGAAAAAAGTTGACTAATCAATTTTGGTCGACTTACGGGATTGTATAGAGATTATTCTTTGTAAATATGCAAGTATGATCGATATCGGAAAAGTTTTGTTTATGTGTATAGAAGCCATCCATTTATCCATATCTGAATTTATCCGAATATCCATTTACTATTGGTATCCGGATAATCCGAAAAATATTCGGATAATTATCCGGATATCAATAGTAAAACGGATATCCAAATAATTTCAGATCTGGATATCCAATAGATAAATGGATAAACGGATAATGGATAGGAACTCTATATGTGTACTATATAGGCTTTATGATATTGAATGGTTCTTTGCGCTTACAAATTTATCATTTACTTAGATAAAAAAAAATATTATAATTGAGAAAGAGTCTCTTTTATACAAATCAAGAAAAAGAACTTAGCTTTAATTTATTAGACAAAGCAATCATCATGCATCGATAAGTTTATTTATACTCAATTCCATTTTTCATAATACAATAGGTTAAAAAAATATATACGCATATTTTATCTGTTATATTCATACATTGTATTAACATTATGTACACTCTTTTCAAATTATCTCGATCATCGAATTTTAGTTATATTCATCTCGAACAGTGGACCTGATTCCAATGTCTTATATGTGAAGTGGAAATTTAAAAATTTATTTTTTTTGCAATATTAATGTTGTAAGTTGAACGGAATCTAAGTAGATTTTGAATTTCCTATCTAAATTAAGGTTAGGCTACATATAACGATAGGTAGATAGGATAAACCTCACCTTAAAAATACTAATTTAATTAACTTTCAAATCCACTTAAATTCTGTCATAATGTCGATATTCCCGTACGTACATGGCACGTCAAACTACCATAAAATTGCCGGATACACAATCCCCCTAGATAATAGACTCGCTGTGTACTATACCCGAGTCTACAATATAGGATAAAGTTTTGGTAAAATGCAAAAGACCCGGGCATACAAATAGGAAATATTATGAAAATACTATGAAAATAGAATAAACTTTTCAATTATCAGACTCACATACAAGAGACCCGTGGGTCTCATTATAGGTTCTAAAATTGGTGAACCCGGGTCTCGTGTCCGGCCATTTCCAGTAGTGATCCTAGACCGTTAACTAAAAATTGATTGGTCGATTTCATAAAAAGGCTATACTCAATAATTGCTTAATAATAAATCTCTACTTGCTAGTCTGATTAACTAAACATTATCGGCTAAGCTCGATCAAGCCAATAAAATTTTATCGGCTTGGTTGGTCGAAAAATTTTGATCGGCCAAGATCATCACGTCAATCAACTTGGCCATAGTCGATCATCATTTTCATTTGTTATTAAGAAAGTGTAATTAATAATCATCGAAATTTTAACATAAACTAAAAGAATTACTTGTAATGCAACTTTAAACCTTAATACCGATGTATTACTCGTTGGACAGCATCACAAAAAGCTTCCGAAACTGTATTACAAACTCAAAGTTTAAGGTACGTACGTACGACGTAAATATGAATTTAAATAATGAATTAAGATTACTATGTATATATAACAATGATCTACGTTTATACACATATACGTATATATATATTTGCTAAAACTTTATGACTAAGTCATAATTCTTAAAACAGAAAGAACTTTGCCGGATCTAGTATTTTGAGTGAAACTATCTGAAACGTTTGCCAGGATTTTAGTTTTGCCGAAACTCCCCGAAACTAGTTTCACCCAATTTGATCTAAAAATGGTCCGATAATTGGACTTCGCCTGAAACACTAACACTAATTTGGGTCAAGTTGCTGTATCTTGGGCATGACCATTGACAAAAGTCGACTTATCATTACTAATAATAATTTTTGGGATTTTCAATCACAGAATTTATATTCAATACCAATCTATTGGCTCACAGCTTGTACCTTTCATCCAATTATAATTATTGAAGATTAATAAATTATTCAAATGAGTGTCGCTTTCAATATCAGGTTCTTATCGGTATAAGCTGAAAATGAAATTTTGGAAACTAACAATCCCAGGTTTTCCCTTTGCGACACTTAAATAAAAGAGGGCTCATTTTCTGCATGTAATTAATGATAAACATCAATGAATTCAATAAATAGGAAATCGCAAGGATGGTAAATGACTTGAGATGACCTGATGACTCAAATGACAAATGACTAGTCATTGGTCATTTCGAATGCCTAAATGACTGAGAAGGTCATTTAACATACGTTAATTGGTGTTCTAACATTTTTTTAATCATTAAAATTGGTTACAGGATAAATGCAAATTTTTATATTATAAAGCACAATTAATAATCGTAACTCTTTTAAGTCAAAATTTATTACTGTATTAAACTAGTCAAGATTTATGCCTTAAGTAAAGCTTCAAAAGAACAAATTGCATATAATCCAAAGGTTTTATGTAATTTGAATAACTTTTTATTAATTCATTTTTGCATTTATGGAAGATTAAGAATTTTTTTTATTTAAATGGAAATGCGGAATGAATCAATAGAGTTATTCAAATTACATGAACCTTTTATAGTATATGCAATTCGTTATTCCAAAACTTTACTTACATACTGTAAATAACGACTAGCTTGGTAAAACTTTAACTTATACTGTACGATTATCGACTAGAAAGCCAATAACTTTTTTAGTTATCAAGCCAATAAAATTATCTTATGCACAAATGACCCAAATGACAGGTCATTATTTGATGACTTTGGGTCATTTAAATTTTGATCAAATGATCAGGTCCCTGGCGTGAATAATAAAGTCTCTCAAACATATGTTTGATTTTCATCCAATAAATATAAGTGATAAGCTTGTAAGCCTAAAGTTTCATTCTTCCTTAGCAGCACCGGCAATGACAAGCCACCCAGTTAAATCAAATTTCTGAAATATTAATATATGATACTCAAGGATTTGATATAATTCTTTAGGGAGTATCAACTATTTTTACCTTTTTTTAATTTTTCCACAATACATAACAAAATGAAAGTTGGCTGTGTCGTTTTGTACAGAAGACGAAGTAGACGAGGTAGGCCTCAAGAAAAAACAGCAAGTTGAGATGAGCAGGGAATAGAAGACGCAGTTCTTCGTCTTCATTATATTCATCTCGTATAGTTTGAAATTGAACGCGGCAGATCCTCGATTTTGATCGACGATCAAAAAATTAGGCCGGAATTACTCACAATTTTACTAATGAAATCGCAGCCGCCCATTAAGTGAAATTGTTAATTTCTATTTTTGTAATGAAAAAATTAAAAAGTCAATTCCGGCCGGAAATTAGTAAACAATTATGTAATGCGGGCCAAAATTTTGAAGATCCTCGGCCGTTAGCCGCGCATTTTTTGTGCGGCACCTAGGTTAAATTTTTTTGCGCCACACATTAGTAGTTGAAAATTCGCTAGATAATTAATAATTCAGAAATCCCAAGATTATTATTATAAGTTCTACTGTAAAAATTAATGTGCTCAAAAATGTACGAGATTTATTTTGTTATAATTTATCAAATATATATAACTTTATAAACAATTTCTTGGTTTGCTTTGAATGAATTTTCAATTTTTGGTTTTTTTGAATTATATCATTTAACATAAAATGTTAAAAACCATTAAATAAGAAATCTTAAAGCTATTTTATTTGATAATTACTTGAATCATTTACTAACTTTTTATCAACCTTTAATTTATCCAAACGATCTAAATATTCTTTATATCCTCTAAAAAATAAGTCTTGTTCTTTAGTTCCGTACCAAACTGGTATAAGACCAAAATGTGAAATACCATTTATTTCCCAAACATCCCATATTCCTGGTTCATACTTTAAATTATCTTCTATTATATCATTATCGACCTCAGGGTCGCGAATATCTGTAATATGGTTTGGGAATCCTTTATGGTGTTTACACATTCCATCATTACATTCGAATCCACCGGGATGCATTTGCGAAATTTTTGGGCATACTCCATCATTTTCGTACCAATTCGGTAATTCTAGTTCTGGATCTATAGGAAATTCTGTTGTTTTTGATGAAAATTTAAAACTGCCTATTTGATAAGATAGAATGTAAATTGGAAGTGGAATTGTAAATGAAAATTTGGGTCGATGAAATTTTGTAAGTGGATCCTGGGAAGTCTATTCAAAATAATAATAAGTATATCAGATTATGTATATGTTTAAGCAAATGTATAATATCATAAATACTTACGATGGATGTAGCATAAGTTCTATAAAATGTATTAGTAAAGGTACGACTATTCTTATTTAAATCATTCATTGCATGAATTGTCATATCATAAGGTGCGTTATCTTTACAATACATCCAAGGACTTTTCATCAAACATTGTAAAAGACCATATGTTTTTTCTTTTTCCCCTTCTAATTTTTGGCAATCCAAGTCATATGAATCGTCTTTCCCTCTGAAATATTCATTCCACAATGATTTCAAATTTTTTGTTAAACTTAGATTCCAGTGATCACAATTGAAATCATATGTCGAATTTTTTAACCATTTTATATCCAAATATTCATAAATATGAACCAATCTACTAAGCCAAGCTCCAAAGCTAAATGGACGGACTGATCCTACGTTTTCTGTGCACGATCCTAATATGTAAACACCTTGGCTTCCTATAATTATTAAAACACATTAAACAATGCTAACTGACTAAGGTTAAATGTGATAAATGTTCATACTACAGTCTATTATACCTTTGAATGGAGCCGAGACAGCTGTAAGAGATCGAACCATATCAGGATGAGGTTCATAATATGATGGGAAAATATCACTTGCGAGTAATTGTTGAAGTTTCCAAATTGTTATACCACCCTAGTGTTTAAAATAGACTATCTGAGAAAGATGACATAAATGAAATAAATAAATATGAATGAATGCAGCTTATATGTTACCAATGAATGCCCAAGAAAGTGAAGGGGTTTAGAAACACTCCATTCTGGATATAATCCTGAACCAAATAAAGTTTTAATTGTGAATTAACCTTATAATACATCTAAATACAGCATTTTATTTGATAAATACCAGGATATTCGCGACCATAACGCGAATGGCCATATTGTCGGGCATGCTCTTCTCCATAATCAACTATATAATTATGGATAAAAATTAAATTTTGCAATGAACGCAACTTCATATAAAGTCACGTGAAATGAGTTTTCACGTGTTGAATATACCTCTTCCACCTTTAATTTGATAAAAAATCTCAACGGCTCTGTCATGTACAGAACTTCCACAACCAGGTGATACAAAAATACAACGTCTAACTTTGTGACATGATTTCCATTCATTCTTGTCTTCATTGGCATTATTATTCTGCTTGCAGATCTTTTGATGGTAATGTTGGTTTTCACAGGAGCTTGAAAGAAGCGATTGTAATGTACCCCAATAAAAAGGTTTGCCTGGGCCCAAAAACCCTTCGACAAAAACTACAGGAATTGAATTCTTTTCTTCGTTAATATTAGCATCGTTAGTGTAAGATGCTGAATAAGAACTTTTATTTGAGAATTCAGATTGATCGTGGGAATCGTAAACAAAAAATTCGGGAGGCATAATACAAATTATGAAATTTTTAATTAAATAAAAAACAGAAAATATTGTGAAATAGGATAGCAATCAATAAGAAGAATTCAAAGATTAGGCTTGATAATTAGGAGACTATTATATAAGCAACCTCAATTCACGTAAAGGTAAAAAGAAGGCTTGTAACAAAAGTTTTGATTTATAGATATCGATACATTAATATAATTTTGTATCTAAGTAATACAAGACAAATTCGGTTTACCGATCACCCAATTTAATTTATTATCGAATTAGTATGTACAAATAGCCAAACAGGACCTATGACGGGTAATTTCCGTCCGCCCATAATATAATGCTAAAGAAATTTCTTGTTCGGCTATCTGTTTCATGGATCAGATAATTTTACATAGTTTATGACATTAGTTCAATTGCCAACTATATCTAGTTAACAAAATGCATGTAATTTTGATTTTTTTATTTATTGAACAACGAAACTGTAGATCATATTCCCTTAGCTAAAAAAATTTTAGCACCAAAAAAGATTCATCTGCCCACTGACTGTATGCACGTACGTACGTACGTACGCATATACATTACGTCAATTGGGTAAACTAGATCACGCCACCTTAGCACAGCCGCAAAGTCAAAACGTCGGTTTAGTTTTTCAAAAAAAAAATTCCAAATAATTATTAAACACACTTTCAAAATTCTTTCTGCTACTGTATAGTAAAAAAAAATAATCTAAACATTACGTTACGTTATACTATACGTCACTAGATCAGTATGGGCTATCAGCTATAGATAATAGCGTTTTGGATTATGTACTTATTATCGTTATACATAACCGGAAAATTTGCGTAACTATAAAATTCTGTTTTTGAAAGTTTGGCGTTGATAAAACTGCTATATTTTTTACATGTTTCTAATACTAAACTGACACGAGTTCCGCCGAGAGAAAGCTAGATAATTTTTTTTTTGCATCATTCATTATATGAGAATGGAATACTAAGTGGTTTTTTTGTTGGAACTAGTTTTGGAACTCAAATCGTTATCGATTAAATCAACCCTTCTGGACTTATAAAACTATTAGATTAGTTTTGATTTTCTTAAAAATGTATATTATTATCTATATATATTTATTTTTGAGATATTCAATAACGGGTACGTATAAACGTCATTTCAAAAATGACGCAATATGTACTCGAAATTATGTATATACCCGTTATTTCGGGTATATGTAAACATACTATATATTAACGTAATTTTTAGTAAATTATTTCTAAATCTTTTAGTACCAAATTTTTTCTAATTATACATAATAGTGGAATTGGTTAAAAACTTAGTAAATAAATATTTGAAATTACGTACCAAAATTTGTCTAAAACTATTCAGTTGGGGCACAAAAATTGGGGCATGTCTTGGTTCGAAGGCGTACGTATGCTTATTGAATTTACTTATTTGAGCACGTAATACAAATCTTATTTGGACATAGTAAATAACTTTGGGGTTTGATCACGTTACATATAATCTAGAATTCTGATTGGTTGATCTGGAATATCGATATATTTTTTCTGCAGATTTTAAAAATTTTATCGATTTCGAATAAATGGGCTTGGTGCTGGAGAAAGGGACGAAATTGACAAAAAAATTCTTCACAAAAATTAATTATCTCGTGAACTACCAATTAGAATTATATGATTTTGATACCATTCGATTCATCTTAATGAGAAAGTGAAAGATACCAAAATCATGTGATTCTGATCGATAGTTCACGAGATATTAATTTTTGAGGAATTTTTTTTTTTGTCAATTCGTTACTTTCAGCACCAAGCCCAAACGTAAGTATATCGGATTTAGAGCCTCGGAAATTTTCTCCGATCATTGTCACAAAATCATAGAGTCACCTTTTTGCAAGCACTACGTATAATAATTTATTATCCGAAAGCAGAAATAAATTGAAAATTGAAAATAATGCATTCGATATAAAATGATTATATGCTTTAAAAAATCGATTCTCATTCGCCATGCAAGGTACCCGAGTACGTTAAATTCCACGTGACTTACACCCGGCATTTAACCTATGTAATTATACCACAAAAAATTTTCCGGTCACATGACTTTATCGTGGCGCAAACCAATTGAATTTCAG